TGGGTGGCGGGGGCGGTCGGCGGCGGGCGGCAGCCGGCGACGACAGTGGGCGGGCGGTGGCCGGTGGTTGGAGGCAACGGCCGGCGACGGTGGGTGAAGGCCTCTGTAAGAAGAAAAAGAAAAAAAAAATCTAAAGGAATAGAACCTAAGCTCTAGATACCATGTTGTGATTCAGGAATTGTGTGTATTGTTGTACACACCAATCTTATTTATAGAGTGAATACAATAAATGATAGAGATACTAATCTCTTATATTATGGAAACTAATTTAATCATATCCCTAATTGATAGTGAGGATAATAACCATATTATATGTATCCACAATATCTGTAATATATTCACAATATTTGTAACAGTTGGATTCATGATAAACTATTTGAAACCACCCTCAGTATGGATTAATCTATTTTTATCATCTAGTTCTAGCAAGGCCTATATTCTCTATTAACCCTTCCAGACTCTAGAGTATTAAACTAAGACGAAAGGAAAAAATGCATTTTAACAATAAGTTTTGGCAGTAAGGTATCAGACTAGTATGTCACAACTTTCCATCCAACAAATCTATATCCCTTGGAAGTTTGATGTTTTTTGGTTGCTAATTCATGTAACAATATCCAGACTCATGTGTACAAGAGGGCAGTTGTCTTTTCAAGACCACTGATTTTTGCTACTGCATTCATGAGCTTCTTCTCTGTAGTTATAGCACTGTTTAAGGTAAAAACCTTTAATTTCTTATAGTATATGTTTGTTTTCACCATCAAATTTTTGTTTCAATTGTATCCAATGTAAAACACTGGTTTTTATATAGGATATACCCGACATCGAAGGAGATAAAGTATTTGGTATCCAATCTTTTTCAGTACGTTTAGGTCAGAAACCGGTATGTTTCTTCAAATGCATCATCTCAGCAGGATTGATTGTGCCCTCACGTATCCCTTAGTTGTTGCTAACTACTCTTTGCCAGGTATTCTGGACTTGTGTTACTCTTCTTGAAATTGCTTATGGAGTGGCCCTCCTGGTGGGAGCTGCATCTCCTTGTCTCTGGAGCAAAATTGTCACGGTATTGTCTAGTCATTACATATATACGTTGCAGTTACATTCCACAAAGCAGTTATTTCTTTTATGCCAGGGTGCTGGGGGATGGGTTGTGATTTTGATTAATTAGTTTAGACTACTAGTTTCAAGGAAGTTGATCTATATACTCGCCTTCCTTCTCATGCTGTATTTTTACTGTGTTATATAAGTTCGCTAATATCAACATTTGGCAAACTTGCCTACCTTGTGCTGCAATTTTTTATTGTATGTAAACTTGTTCAAACTTTTTTGCAATGTTTGAAATTTATTTTCTGTCAATATGCTAGGGCCTGGGACATGCTATTCTAGCTTCACTTCTCTGGTATCATGCCAAATCTGTAGATTTGAAAAGCAAAGCTTCGATAACATCCTTCTATATGTTTATTTGGAAGGTAATTTTCACCTTTAATGCTGTTTATCATTTTAGGAGGTCATTATCAAGAATAGTCAAGATCATTATTCAAAGAGAAATATGCAAATAGCTATCTGATAACTTTTCCCGATTTGAGAAATAATGGTTATTGAATTTCTTATGTCTTCTAAATTCCAATTGAAATACAAAACAGCATGGTACATTAGTTATAGTGAAATTATTTTTTTGGAATTGGAATTTCTATGACTAAGTTGGTGAACCTGGTCATAATATGGATCGAACTTTATCTTCTAGTTAAAAATTCAACTTTGTTAAAAGCACATGACATATGGGGACATGAATTATTGCCAGTTTATTTGTTTATTTATTTTCAAATTGTTTGCTCTATCTTGTATTCATGTCTTGTTTCTTTTTTTCAAATTCTCTGCCCTTCGTATAAAGTTGAACACCATCTTATATTGATGTCCTGTTTCTTTCTGCAGCTATTTTACGCAGAATACTTGCTCATTCCTTTTGTAAGATGAGGATGCAATTGCATTGTTAAACTCATAATTAGTTTTGTTTAAATGGTGCTGCCTTTGTAAGAATTATTTCTTTTGGAATGGTTTTTTTTTTTTTACTCCGTTGCTTTCAATGGCTTCTTCAATGATTTTTTCTTCCATTAAACAAACTAACAAACTCATGCTTATTATCATTACTTTTCAAGATAGTAAGTAATGCTTACTAATTACTCTTTTAACCGAAGGTGCACAGCGGCTTTGGCAATTATGTTAGTCAGGATTGAAGTTTGATTCTTGTCTTGATCATAGTATCACTTTATCTTTACAAAAATGGACTCAGTGAAAAAAAAAAATTATTAAATAAAAAAAAACATTACTTTTTAACATGTCATATTTAACAGAAGTATGTGTTTCAATATATTTATAAATTTGGACTTTATACACGAGAATTATTATTTAATCAGTAATTTATTGACTTTTAAGTCATATGAGATGTTTTAGGGAATATAATAAGGAAAAAAGAAATAATCATGCGGAAAAGAAAATACTACAAGAGTAAAGTTCAAACTGGCAAGTTTTATGTGCAAATACATGTATAAATTTTAAATTTAATTAAGTAAAATATATATATATAAGAAGAAAGATATAAGAGATGATTCATAAAAGATATAAGAAAAAAATAATTTTAATATAGTCAAGATTTCAAGAAATACTAATTTATGATAAAATCGATAGATAATCTTAGTAATAGCATGGTAAAATAAAAATTATCCAAACATTGGACTACTAAACCAATCCAAATTAAGTCAAACATTTAAACCTCTAAAGCCATTTGGGCCTAACTCTAGCCCAGATTATGGGCAGCATGATTGGGTTGAATCGGACATATAGGTTGTAGCGAGATACTATGGTTTGGTAAAGGTGCTATGTATAGACAATGAATAAAAGTTGATGAAAGCAAAGTGATTTGTTATCAATGAGCATGCTCCATGATGTCTAATTTCATAATAGGGATGGAGAAAGCTCTCATACAAAGCCAAATATGAATCAAGGAAAGGGTAGTTGAGAAAATAATAAATAATTGTCCATGCTTAATTATCTCCGTTCACTAAGAAAATGGTAGTCATTAATTAATTGGTCATCAAGTTAGTGGTCTCATTTTTATCTAATATAAAAAAAATTAGAGGTTGGTGGAGTAATTTGCTTCTATTCTAACAATTCACAACTTCCTCGCGATTTTCATGAGGGGCAAAGAACTAAAGAATGTTTTAATTAGCCGTCTTGATTGTGTGCGTTTGGTGTTTGACACAATCGGTGGAAATGCTAGCTAAAAGTTCGAAACTAAAAGCTAATAGGGTAGTTAATTGAATTAACAACACTACATCATCCTTTACATGAAAAATCAAATTATTAATTTATTACTTTTAATAAAAATAGTTAAGTTAATTAATTTTACTCCTTTTTTTTAAGTTGACTAATATTTTTTAATAATATTAAAACTTAAATTTTCATTTAAAAAATATTCATAAAATTAAATAATTTAAATAATAATTATATTTAATGATACAACATGATAACTTCAGGTCTACTATGACTTAAATTATTAATAGATCAATAAATACATTTATCTTTAACAAATTAACTAATATATTAAGTTCCTCTACTTCTATTTTAGCCAAATAAATTTTTGAAGTTAGTCAAATAACATAAAAACTAACTGATTTATCTTGTTAAAACACTTTTTTTTAACATGGAAAAGCATATTATATAACCCTAAAAAACTATCGTCTTTTTATTTTATTTTTGGCAGCAATCAATCAAATGTATATTTGCCTTGTCTCATGGCATGTTCAGCGGCATTCCTTATATCCTTTCCCTGTAATGGTACAGAAAAGCCAACTGTTATCTCAATTCTCAATGTACATGGATTGAGTATAATCATATACCATTTGCCGCATTAGTCTTGAAAATCTTGTGGACCCCAATATCTATAATAATTTCGATGGCTAACTGTGCTCCAATGGATTGATCATATGAGTTATTATGTAGCAATGTTTTTGCATTTCCACTGAGGAATTGAAAAATGAACAAGGTGGGGGCTAGGGTAATGGAATATCATCTATATCTACATGGCATTAACGACAAGAAAGAAACTATGCCACTTGGAAAAAAAAGTGTATGCTATGTGCATCTCACTTTCCCCCAAATTTGCAAAGTCGTATCTCGTAATAGAAAATCAATTATCTTCTTTCTACAAGTTCATTTACTTTCCTTCTTAATTATATATCCTCAAACCATTTTCCCATATTCCAAACTATACCCATATAATCTATTCCATATTCGAATGTGGAACCTTCCAAAATGAAAAAGTGGGTAATGAAATCTCAAAAGGGTATAGCACACAATTACGTGCTTTGCATTCTCTTTAATACTTAGTTTTTTTTTAGTATAGCCTCCTAAGTTAGGTTTACAATACAACTAATTAGGTTCAGTAAAGGTACACAAATACAACAAAGTACATTGACTTGGGTGTATTAATCCACCAAGTGCATAACTTAAGAGTTAAGAGGATATGGAATTATGATTGTAAATACATGGATAAAAGGATGTTATAATTTAATTAATGATTTTGAATTCGAGTGTTAAATATATATAATTATATTAAATAATTATAATAATTTTATCCAATTCAAATAAGATTATATTTAATAAAAATATATATAATGTACGTAAAAACAAAAAAAGGAAAGATGGACAAGAAGAAAAGACATGATTGTGTGTCCTATGGACGTACCCAATGGGTAATTGGTTGTAATTTGAGGAGTTGGATACGAAAGAAAATGGGATTAAGGGAGACTCAAAGGATACTCACCTTTTGTTGGTAAATGGTCAAATAACATGGGGGCAGGCATGATTCGACTTGGACCAAGAAAATCATGTCTTTTGCTCACCATAAAAGGAAAAACTAAGTGCAGATATAACGTAAAAAAATTACTACCACCAAAAAAAATCCCTCAAAGTCTTGCAGATTTTGAAAGGATCTTGGGACTGGTTTTTTTTTAATTATTATTTGTCACACTCATATAATGATAAAATATTGATAATTATTTTTTTGACAAATTATTTTGTAAAAGAAATCAGTTTCTTTGAAAAGAAAACTGCGATATGGGCACCTTCTTATACTTCTACATCGTACGTGTTTTGAGAAATTAGTTGATTTCTTTAAGTGCTTATTAATATAGAGAATACTAATATATAAAATGATACCTCTGCCATCAAGTACTATTCTTTTCAACGCATGATATCCTTTAGCTAGTGTTTGTTTTAGGGATTTACTGTTCACGAGCAAGGAAAGGCGAAGAAAATTGCTGTTTGTTTCCGGTGATTTGTGACGTCGGAAAGGCGAAGAAAAAGGGGGAGAAGCGTGATTCGCGTCCTCGCACAAAAGCGAAGAAAGGAGAAGAAAGCCACGTAGGATTTGTGAAAACCTGGAAATGCCCCTGTCTCATGCATGCATAATCGATTATACGAAGGAAGCACATAATCGATTATGGCTGAGCATAATCGATTATGCAATGCCATAATCGATTATGATTGGCCACATAATCGATTATGCTGGGGTATTTTTGCTTCCAGTGGAACCTAGAACGGCCCGTTCCAAAAATGAATTTTATGTGCAAAATACGAACTCAGAACGGGTCGTTCCACTTTGGGAACGGGCCGTTCCAGTTTTAGAACGGGCCGTTTCATAGGTGGACATTGTGGGTTAATTTGTAACCCCAGAACGACCCGTTCTGGTCTGAGAACGGCCCGTTCTGGGTATCAAATTTTGTTTTACAAAATATAATTATCATAATATATTTTGTTATTATTATAAATATTATTATTTTCATTTTTATTAATATTAGTATTATTTATTATAATTAGTATCATCATTATTTATTATGATTCTTATCATTTTTCTAATATTTATTATTATTCTTATCATTATTTATTATTTTTTTAATAAATTATACCTATTAATATAATTTTATTGTAATTATTATTATTTACAATAAATAATATTATACTCATTTTTAATCCAACGGTAAAAGTGTAAATTATATATTCATCTATTAAATTTTTAATTTTTATCTATCATTAAATTTAAAGCAAATATTTAAATTAAATTATTTTTAAATTAATATTTTATAATTTTTTTAGTTAAAATTTATATATTTATCTTTTAATTATAATAATTAAAAACCTTTTTTTAATCAAAGGGCAAAATAGTAATCTTACACAATTATCAATTAAAAAAATTATTTTTATCTATCACATCAATCAATTCACTCACAAACTTTCACAAATTTTTTCTACACTTTCCACTCACTTTCCCTTCAAATCCCTCTTTTTCCACTCCCCCTTTTCCATCCTCAAATCCAAATAGCGCCTTAATCAAAAGTTAAGTGTTAGAAAAATAAAACATTAATCTATAATTTATAATAATAAAAGTGTTCTCTCATAATTATTGTTATTAAATTATTAAATATGTAATCTCATAATTATCGTTATTAAATTATTAAATATGTAATAAAATATATAGATAAAATTCTTCTACTTTTTATCCTTAAGTGCATTAGACAATATTTATAAATAAGATTAAGGATATTCTATTTTATTATTATAATAGTCTTTTATTAATTTTTTTTTATTAAAAACCAATAGAATAAAATGTAATATATATTATGACTCTTAATAACTCTTATTATTATTCTATAACAATTTTTTATTATCAAATAATTAATTAGATTAATAAAGTAATTAAATTAAATATTAATTATATGAATTACATAATATTTTTTCAACATTAAGGAGTATTAATCTTTGAAAATACTAAAATTTATTTAACCAATCAATATGTTTTGATAATTACTATTTTATATACATAAATTTATGATTAAATTTCTAATCATTTGCTTAATAGAAATGACTATCTGAAAACCATATCAAACATGATCATACAATGCGAATCATTATAATTTAATAGATAATCTCAAATGTGAGATTGTAATTATGTTAAATATATATATAGAGAGAGAGAGAAAAAAATCGTTCATAATAAATTTATCTTGCTCTATCCGCGAGAAAATATTCGATTATTCCTCTTGTATTAAAAATAAATTACTCATAATTATGAACTTCTTGCAAGATTCATCAATGTGATGTATCCCCACATGGTTACATGTTAGGGTATGGAGCAATCCAGCTAATATGTTAAACTATTTGCCCTACAATTGAAGCATTATG